TAAGTCTTGAAATTTAAAAGTTAAAATTTTGTGGTGTTTAAAATTATCTAATTTTTCAGTCGATTACAAGGTTTGATTAAGGGAAAGTAGTAAATAAAATAAACCAGTAATTGAATTAACTTAATCAGTTTTATTTACAAGTAAATAAACGAAAGTTCTGCAATACGACGAATACTTATCATATCAGGACTGCTTATTGCTCGAACAACAACCCTTTTAGACGGGCTATTTTCCTCAGTAAAGAAAAGAAAGAAACTGAAAGGAGAGGCCATTAGAAGATAAGTAGTACTGGAATAGAGAGGCCCGAGATGACAAATGACTGTATTAAAACCGGCTCTCCTCCACTTGAGAGTTAAAACCAGAAATATTTGTTTGCCAACAATATCCACGCTACATTGGATTCAGAGCAGTTGTATTCATAGGCTCTTTACTCTGCTGAAATAGGACTCCACTTCTCCCAACTCGAGCCGCTCTCCAAAGCCTGCCCACGAGGAGGGGGGTTAGGGTGGGGTCATTATTCCTAAAGGGAGTGGATATTGTCGAGTGGACCTCTGAAATTATCGCTAATGGATTTATTGAATTACGCAAGAAAGCAAATATTATTATTATTTTTTTTTTTACCAAAACGTTCTGTTTTGAATCTTCAGAAAAATTATAATTTTTTTACATTTAATAATACATCAATTACTCACAGCCACTTACTACATTCCTAGAGCATTAGAGCAAAAACAAACCCAACCGGCGTGTTTCTGGATGTTACCCAGACATTTGATAAAGTCTCAAATCATCGCATCAGATACTTCTGTTTAAACTCATAACATATACAATGTTATGATAATAGGTTTTCCTCTGTCGTCATGTCTTAAAAATTTCTTCAATTCGACCATTCTTGGCAGGAATACCTGAAGGATCGATACTGGCTTTATTACTCTACATTCTATATATCCGTGACATACCTAGCGGCTCCGAATCATTAGTTAACGAATCGGAGGCAGTGATGACTTTATAAGTAATAGTTTTATTCATAATATCTGTTACAATTGGCATCTTAAAATATAGAATAATGTTATGAATATATGGGTTGACTACAAGAGTTTACTCCAGGTCTCCTTCAAGAGTGTGACTTCAAGAATGTAAATGCAAGAGTGATTTGTTCCGAGGAGCATGGGGTTTATACACCCAAAAGAATAGCAAGGGGGCGAAGGGAAGTCGGAAGAGAACTTCAAAGGAAGTTATCGATGGTTAATATTCTTAAGATGAGGTCTGTGAAAAAGTGCCCTTTTGCTGAAATCTGTTAGTGTTCCATAAGTCTTGATAAAGGGGTCTTCTGTCCAGTCGGTACATTCTAGACAACTATTTCTAAGCTATAAGAGTTAGCTTGACCTGGCCATTTAGGGATAGCTTTGTCCTTTTATCCCTTGAGTCATGAGAACCGTCAATACAATACATGATTCACCAATTGGCACATTAACCAAATTCAATTATTAAAAAATGTTAAATTAATACTATTATTATTATTTGCTACGGATTAAGTCCATTTCTTAACTATTGACTAATACTTACGATAAAAACACAACAATTTTAACAAAATACCATTACCCCAGTCTATCCTCACAAAACTTATAAAATAATTTTCTAAATTTACAAAATGACAACATACTTTCGAAAATTAGATAAAATCATGAAAAATAACCACATATAAAATTTACTCTTCGTTGAGACAAGTGGCACTAGTTTACTTTGACGAAAACCAAATTTCTCAAAGGCAAACTGTACGTTATGTTGCACTAATATTTGACAGAAGATTGACCTATGATCCACACCCATAAATGGATAAAAATACCTTTAAAAAGCGAATGAATGAACTCCGTTTTTTTTTTTCTAATCAAAATTGAAAATCAGACAAAAAATAAATACATACTCGTACTCGAACACATACCTATACGTTTCACAGCCTTACATATCCATCATTACATACTAACATAGCTTAGGGAATATGTCTGCAATCTTTTCTGATAAGAATATTAAAACTAATAACAGCAGCTTCAGTTCCGTAAACAACAAAAGCTTACTTACTAGCTTACGACATCCAACTATCGACCACAACATACAAATTACTTTCGATTTCGTATAACGGACCAAATAATAGTCTTATAAGCGATATTACGACAATTGACAAGCCCATAAGGCTGACTTGTCTTAGTCCTGTATTTGGGGAAAACTGATGCCCATGGTTTACACGCCTCACAGAGAAAACGAATTTTAAGATATCAGGGTATATATATATATATATATATATATATTATATCCGAAAATTCGTTTTCTATGTGAGGCGTGTCAACCATGACCATCTGTTTTAACAAAATACAAGAACAAGACAAGTCAGCCTTATGGGCTTGTCAATTGTGGTAATGTCGCTTGTAAGACTATTATTTGTTCCATATATATATATATATATATATATATATATATATATATATATATATATATATAACGTGTAATTAGAAAACCTAAATTCTTATTAATCTAATGTCTAAAATATGAAGTCGTAGATAATGATAACAATTATGAGTAGTAATTTATTTAAACTAATATTATTTAACGGAAACCAAATGCTTTCAATGAAACTAAATTCAATTTTTTTATTAATCGTGTTTATCATCTACAAACCAAAAATATGTATTTCATCGAATCGTCATTTTACAACTGTTTAAAAATTCTTTTATCAAACTTTTGCTGTTGATAAAACACATGTTAACAATAAACAAAATTGTATAACTATTTTAGTGGAGTTACTGGATGCAATTTGAATTTAGTTGGATAAACAATGCTGTGCAACAAATTGCTTTTCAGTCTGATGTGAAGATTAGATTTTATGAATAAATTACAACTAGGTAGGTACACAGTATGGACAGAAAAAATAGAATTTATTTACCTTAAAAGTCAATTCCAAACGAAATATCCCAGCCACATTTTTACACGAGGGACCGAAGAACAAATTATCGGGCTAGACCGTCCATTCCTAAATCCAAGCAGTTTGTTAGGTTTCGGTCGCGTTGTTTTTATCTGGGTCTGAATCCCTTTGAACGGGAGCTGTTTGTTTGAAAAACAACCTTCAAACACGGCAGACAAAACCAATGCAATTAGCAGTTTCCTTTTCCAGTCCGAACCCTCTTACCCCCATTTATTTGTCCTGCTTCGCTTTGTGGGCGTATGACCCAGATGGTAACTTGATCTGGTTATTGGGGGAAAAAAAGAATAAAAGGGCAAACCAATATCGAAAGACTATTAGTTGTAGTTTCCTACAATTAGTTCGTGTTCAATCTAATTGTCATTCAATTTTAATTTTTTAGAGCATGTTAACTAAGAAATGTAACTATCTGTCTCAATTGAGGACAAAAGTGCTATAATAGTGCTTGGTGAGCACATTCACACTCTATGTGCAATGAATAAAAATAAATTAAACAGTAAAAAATATTAATTTATAAAAAAAACAACAGAAAACTAAAACAACTAAACTAAACAATACTATACAAAATTCATTCATTCAGAGAATCTCCAAGCCAAGCCTTTTCCACACTTCATAGATGAAAGGAAAGACAGGGCTCTAGAAGATCCAAGGACCTCTCACTCAGCCACAGCCTAGGTTATTAAGTTATTGGTGGAAAACAAAATAGTAAAGATGCAAATAAATATCAAAAGACTCTTAGCTATCGTTTTCGACATTTGAAAAAATGTTACTAAAGTTAGTTTTTCGGCAAGTCAATAAATGTCATGATAATAATTCACTTTTACTTACTCTGTTTTTAGTTAATAATAATAATAATAATAGGACTTAGCGAACACCAAGGTCCAATGCCGATACCACCAATGGCTGTCTACATTTTTCCGTCCACCGGGTACTGTACAAAACCATTCCCACCAGATCAGCCTTAACACTGAGAGGGTTACACCTACGCTTCGGTCCACCTCCTAGCCTGCACAGCGCATATTTTTAGGAATTAATTTAATACCAAGTCCGGTAATTTTACATGGCTATTTTATTCGCCCCGAAGTAATCTCCTCATCCTTCTTCGGTTCGAATATACTCAATACTTTATTTTTTAAAACTTAAGACGTTGTTCATCCCTTGATGCGAGCGATTACCTTTCGCATCCATAAAGAACCGGAAGAAGAATAATGGTTCTGTATATTCATATATTTAAGTTTCTGGACAAAGGGCGCAAGCTGAGTGGTTCCACTACTGAAAAGTAGAAATAATTTTCTGCCTTTTATCTAGCATTATTCGCTTCCACTTTAATATCTAATCTTCTCAAACGTATTTCTTTTAATATCTATTACACCAAAACTGTCGCCATTTTCGCGTATAACCATATATTTTGTCTTGTTCGTATTTATTTCAAGTCCCAGGTGATACATTATCCATATACAGGAACAATATCTGTGCTTGGGTATGCTGATGATTTGGTACTGTTGAGAGAAGACCCGGATAAAATAATACTCAATAAAATGGTTTAGTTAGTTAATCTGTCAATTTCAATAAATAAATATTTAAAAGAAGTTGAAATGTTTGGATTAGAATGGTTTGTAAATTAAACGAATGCATAAAACTGTTTTAAACTAAATTTATATAGGCAGAGAGTTGTTTTTAAATTCCGATTCGATTGAATTGCTGGAAATAAAACTCTATTTCATCTGCTGGCTCGACAGCTTTACAAGAATATTTGCCGATGCAATGCCGTGAAGTGTTTTATACTGGACCCTAAACCCCTTAAGATGGCCCAGATAAATATTTTTACAGCGGAAATCGAGGACTGAATAAATTTGCCGTCGATAAGCCCCTAAGAGGATGATGACTCTGGGATAGAGTATAAAAAAGAAACGGGTTAACGATTCTACTCATCTTCACGATGGCCGACTTGAGTTCAAACCGTAAAAATAAAACCATAAAAAGGCTGTAAACGGTTTTGGCTCGGCTCATTGGAATAGTTAAATCCAGTTTAATATCGATTGCCAACGGCTCCCAGGGCAAAAACATCCGACGCTAATCCGGGAGAAGGACTCGCTAACGACCGAAAGGGAATCATTAGAGGTTTGCTTCGGTGCAGTTCCCCAAAGTTCCGAATATCGGGGATTATTTCTTCACCACCCGTGTAAGGCAAATTGTAAACCGGGAATTTAATTAAATGTTCTCTAAGAAAAGGAGTATAGATGTATGGGACATTCATTTATTTTCGAATGATTACATAGTTAGAAATTACACACACACACACACACACACACACACACACACACACACACACACACACACACTAAAAAAAAAAAAAAAGGATTGGCTAAAAATCCCTTGATAGAGATCAATCGAAGTGGTGGCGCCTTACCATGATATAATTGAAACCATCAAGGAGAAGGAAGTTGATTAAATACAAATAAAATCAAGAGAAAAATCTAGGACATTCTTAAATTCAACCCGATCAGTTTCGTTCTAAATCACAGATTAAGAGGGGATCTTTCAGTCAAGCTAAGATGAAAAAGTTTTGAAACCAAATATAAAAAGTTTAAAACTGATAAAATGCTACTATTTTCTTTGATTTAAAAACAATTTTTTTTGTAAACATATAGTGTGAATGTGATCATTGAACACTATTATAAATGTCCTTTGAGGAAGATTGTTAACATTTAATAAACAAGTTAATTTTTTTTTTAAATTATGGTACCCGCCCTACAGAGATGTTTAAGCAATATCGAGCTGCGGCACAGTGAGGCGTAACGCCCTAACACCCTGCATAAATTAAATAATTAAATGTTTTCTTTTGAAGAATTATTATTGATATTTGAACACAGCAGGAGTTGGCGTTCACTCCAGGTCTCCTACAAGAGTAGTACTTCAAGAATGTAACTGAAAGTGCAAGTAATCCAGAGGACCATGGGGGCGGGGATCTGGATGATAAGGGAAGAACTCTGGTAAGCTGGTGTTATTAACATTTGAAAGGTTATTAGAAATTGATATTGTTATCATTTAGTATTGATAAGAGAGAAAGGGACCTTTTGCTGTTATTGTTTAATATTACAATCTGTTATTGTTCCTTAAGTCTTGATAATGGGTCTTGTGTCCAGTCGGTACATTCTAGATAACTACTTCTAAGCTATCATAGATAGCTTGACCTTGCTATCTATGTAAAGAATCGTCCTTTATCATTTGAGTTATGAGAAGTGTCATTACAATACATGATTCACCAATAGGCATATTTAACAAACTCAATTATTAAAATAAATGTTAAATTAATATTATTATTTGTTTCGTATTAATTTTATTCCGTAACTTATGGTATCTCACAATGCCTGTGTTACGTTAAGAATACTATCTTAATACTATCTCCATTTGAGCTTCACCGCATGCTCGAGCCACTTCTGGAATTCACGGTCCCTCATTATTAGGTCCCTTATTTTTCATTCAGTTAATAATATTTTTTTTCAATCTTTATGTTTAACCATTATAATTCATTATTTAAAGTGTCAAATAATTAATTATTTATAAAATTCAAATTATACACTGTCGAAGAACATTAGTGAAGATAAAACCTAAATTTTATTGAAAAAACAATTATTTGTTGTATTGTGTACTAATATACTGAGTTTAATAAAAGTAATTGAAATCTAGTCTGGGAAAATCGAAAAAAATGTGTAAAATCGATGATATGAAGTGGCACATCCGGTAAACCGATTTTCGAGACAATCTTGCTGTAGCATCCCAAGCTTACACTCATCTTAAACAAGTAACGACTTTTTGTTTTTCAGTTAAGTAGATCATTCATACACAGCAACACAGACTATTTTACGGGACTTGCTCATTGAACCCGAGGGATCTCAAAACGTGTATTTCCATTGAAAAGTGATATTCGAAAATGTTTACGATCGCAATACCTTCCCTTACTATTCCGTATAAAGATAAGTAAAAGTAAATATTATAAATAATTCGAAAAATCATCAAGTAACAATGAAATTCACCTTGGTTAAAATTAATCGATTGCAACATATTCTTCAATAACATTCGTTGTATTTCCTAAATTTGCGTTGAGTTGTTTTTGTTGAGAATTATTTAGTCGAGATAGATTTATTTTAATGTCAACAATCATTAAAGAGATCCAACAAATTTATTTCATTTAGATATCATGTAACCATTCGTTTTATTTTATTTTATTTATTATCCTACGGATTAACCAGTATGCTGTGTGTATAGCGAACCAATATAATTGGGCAGCAAGCTTTTATATTTTATATGAAAATAAAATGTTTCTCTCTACATTGAATAATACAAGAATGAAACGGAGTGTACCGTCCAGTATTGATCTACCCAGTGATTAAAACCGTCTTTTGGATGGTCTTTATATGATTTAATAATATAACATAACAGCCCCATATTTGTTCATTGTTATGCCGAAAAAATCACAGATAAAAAAAATTGTGCTTCACCATTGAAATATCCAAATCATATTTGGAATTTAACTGTTTTTAATGTTTTAGAAAAGAAAAAAATCTTCAGATACAGACATCAATTACAAAAAAATATCTCCAGAAGAAGAGTGTAAGAACATAAATCACAAACAATCTAGGAACTTAATTATTTCCACTAATGCGTTTATCTCGTAGAGATCTAGAACTACATTAGGACTCCATTACCAGTTCATCAAACTCATAATGAAGCAGCCATTTCCATTTACTGTTTATTTCCGAGTGTTCTGAATTTTAATTACTGTTTCGGATTAACATTAGTAATTAATATTTCGTATCATCATAAACATTATTATTCTGTGAAATGTTTAAATTTCAGACCTATGATTGTATGCTGGAATTTATGGAACTAATGAAAAGCATTGGCATTTTTATCGCTAAAAGTTATGAAACCAATAATTGTTAACTCAATTATGAATTTTAATATGCCTGATTTTTAATAAGTCCATATCCACTGAGATTCGTAGAACCATTAACATATACGAATTAATATAATAAGCATTAAATTATTATTGTTATTTGATTTAATAACCATATAGGAAATAATTTACTATTCTTAAATGATGATCTTAAACATTTTTTTTTTCAAAAAAGTTTAATAAAGTAAATTAATTTTACGTTTTTTTTTTTTACAAAGTGTGAGCTTATGATCATTCATCAAAGTACGGTTATTATTTGTCCACAATTACTGGCATTGTTCATGAGAAAATAGATATCCGCGACAATGAACCATGGAATATAATTATTTCCAAGTGCATATAAATCTACCTATATATACCTACTTTCGACGTCACTCAATAAATTTATTTTTTTTAAATATTTTTTAAAATTCAATTATCTCTTATATTTTTTCTTATATACAAATAAACGGCGACACGTATATTCCATAACTGATGATAATGCTCTTTTTATGATGTATTTACATTTTATCCAGCATTTACATAATTAGGTTTATATTGACAGATGCAACTTTAATTTTTCTAAGTAAAAACAGAGCTTTTTTATGAGAAGAACTTATTATATTTTGTATCTTTTTCTTCCTTCATTTCTTTATGATCTACATTTATATATAGTTTTAAAAGTTTTTTTTTTATAGTTATTAGTGTTTTGTTCGTAGTTTTAAGTGTTTTGTATGGAGTTTTATCCGTTTTGTATATAGCTTCTTCACTTAAGGTTTTCTTTACTTGTTTTTTAACTTTATTTATTATTTCAATTTTTTAGGACAGAAGTAATCTTTTCGTTTTATATGATTTTGTTATTCTAAATAGACTTATTAAGTTTTGTTTTTATCTATCTATCTATCTATAATGATTATCTTGAATCCTTTATCTGAAGTTAATGTCTCTTAGTGAAAAAATAAATTAGCACATATCATATGAAGTATTCATAAATGGTAGAGGTACCGTGAAGCAGATATTCTCCTTAAGAATCATTCTAGAGAGAACTAAGGAGTACAATATAGATAAGCATCATCCCTTGTAGACCATATGATAACATTATTATAGACCAGCTCTTTACGATATGCTCAAGGTCAGAATCCCGCTAAAATTAATCCATGACATAATAATGTCAATGAGAGATGTGCAATGCTTAGTCTGAGTACGAGGATATGTGTCATACTAATTTAAAATGCACCAATGATTTTACTTAAGGATTAAGGACTGGTAAGACTGCTTGGTTCCACTTGGGAATGAAGTGAGCTATAACGAAATGTAGATTTAGAGGAATCATTCTCAACCAATCAGCCCAAATCATGCTGAAGATATTTATATCTTTGGAAGAGGATACACATCCATCAGGAATACATTAACCAATCTACAGAGGACGGAGGAGCGGCTCGAGCTGATTGTGCAACAAACCAATTTAAATCAATATGTATACCAAAATTTATTCATGAAGCGGACACAACAACAGAAGCACAACTAAAAATTGAGTACTATATATTTGAAATGATTCTGAATACATAAATATTGGGAGTACCAGATAAAAGCATCCAGTGATGTCGGAGTAGAAATCCATAGACCTGGGCTGGGGATTAATGCCAGAATTAAAAGACCCTCCGACACCGTGGCGCTAACTTTTAATTATTTTATAATATTAGTATCAGTTTATCTGGATTCCGGGCAACGACGGTACTGTGCAAATGCCTCTTAGCATTCACTTGATCCGTATGACCGATATCTAAATATGTATCAGTAAAAATAAATCTTTTAAAATAGCCAAATAGCCATCGCACCTACTTGTATCCCATTTTAGTATATACATATACATATATATATATATATATATATATATATATATATATATTATATATATATATATATATTATATATATATATATATATATATATATATATATATATATATATATATATATTTATTTATTATATTATTTGATTATATTATTTGATTATATATATTTATTATATTATTTAATTATATTATTTGTTCTATTATAAATATATTACATCGTGTCATAATGATAAACTGCATGTTTGTGGTTGCAGTAACCTTATACATGACATACTAGTGGTATGAATGCTGTATAGAAAATTGAAATCCATTTTTTACAGTACGAAAAACCTCATAAAAAACCTACTAATCTAACCAACCTCATAAGATATAAATGAAAAACTAGATTACATCATTAAAAGTACACGAAAAACAAAATATAATTTATATACAAAAGAAAACTATATATATATATATATATATATATATATATATATATATATTATATATATATATATATATATATATATATATATATATATATATATATATACACATATATGGGGAATGGGGCAGCACTTGCTATAGGTAATCAAAGTTAAGCAACGTCGAGCGTGGTTAATACTTGGATGGGTGACCGCCCGATTTGGGTGACCGTCCACCAGGGAAAAAAACCATGCTGCCCGAGTCTCTCCCCCCTTCCTCGGGTATGTGACACCCGTCAGCCTACTGGAGGAAATTAACACTGACCGGGCGTAGGACTGATGACCCTACCCCGTGTACTTAATCGGGAATCGGAATATGGTCTACCAGGATGTTAATAGCCCCTGAGGTTCGGTCCATGGACAGTGTTTCGGGGAAAGAAATATAGATCCTCGTGCGGCTGCTTACTCCCAGCAGTCAAACTCGATGGATCTAGATCGATTTGTCACTGTCCTTGAACCGGAGTGAGTCGGTGGGAAGGACACTGCCAGATTGGCCCCAAAGGGATCGGCTATGGAGCTACGGGTGGCCTGCCGCTGCAATATGGTAACCATGGTTCGTAGCAACGTGAGGTTATATAATTTAGCAATTGGGGTGATAGAGTTTATTGTAACTTGTTTGTTTATAGAGAAGAATCCGTTAAATTTTCGTAAATAAAGAGATTGATTTAGACGTTTAGTAGTGTGCGTTTAGTCCGACTATGTGTATACCGTTTCAAAGATGTCTTGTCATAGTTTCCTATTGTTCGGAGCATAGAGTTTTGAGACGTTGGTGTTAGCTCAAAAATCTCTGAATTTTAATATAAATATATTGTTTTGTAGTGGGAAGCTGTAACTCTGATAGCATAATAGATATTATGGTATAACGTGGGTAATTGTTTATTATTCTCATACACAAATTTTGAATCACTTCGAGTTTTTGTAATTAGTTTCGCATGTTTAACTCCATACTGGGGTAGAATAATTGATTAAAGGGCGGATGACTGTTCTATATAAAATCAGTTCATTTTTTGTATTCAATTGTGAACATCTATTAAAATATGGTGACATTTTGCTGGTTATGTTTTTTGCTTAATTCCACTTGTTATTGATATGTTGAGTGAAATTAAGGGACCTATCAAGTTTTTAGTATATTGATGTTTACTTTAACACAGTACACATAAATTTCAATTTAAATCTATCAGTTGATCCTCATGATGGCTATAGTAATAATAGTCATTACCTTATCGGGGACGCATGAGAGCCATAGGCTATGCCTGAGCCTCATTGGCGACAGATAAGATCGCAATTTTGCCCTGAAGCTTGCCTGGCTGACCGTTCGGTCCATTCTGATTTTGTGTAGTGATAAAGTCCTAAATTGTGGAGAGTGCACTCACATTTACTCCGGCCGTGTTAAACACTAGCTGATAGGACTTCTGATTGTTCCGATAAAAGATCAAAAGCTACTCTCGCTATTCCATAGAGTGGGCTAATCATAATTCAACTCGACTTTTTCTTGGATGTATGTTTAATTAATTGTAAAATGTAATTGGAAGGTGGAGAAACTTAGAGGATATTTATATTAAAATTGATTGCAGCTTAACTTGATGGTGATAAGAGCTATTTGTAAAAGATCAGATTTGGCAAAAAGTATGAGCAAAAATTATTATTGTAAAGTACAGTATTCGAAATACTGTATCATAATCGTACTCTTCTTCTGTGAATTTCTTTTCATAAGGATCATACCTGTCAAGAAAATAAAATGAGATAGGTCATATTCCTCAAATTATTAAGAAAAAGTTTTGAACCTTACTTGAAAGTCTTCAAATTTGGATTAGCTATCATGGCAGCCTGAAGATGAAATCTTCCATAACCAAGGTAAACTAAGGCATCAACTTCTCTTATAGTTGGTGCAGTACAACCTAATACTTCACCAGGTGAAAGGGGTCGACTCTGCGGTATCTTTACCCCCCTTATCATAACCCAATTTACGCAGTTCACCTGCAGCTGCATGAAGAGTTGTGATAAATTGTATAGTACTAACAAAAGCTAATTTAGTTTCCATTTTAAAATTAAGTTTTATTGTTTCTATAAAGTGTATAGGATCAATCTTAATATCAACAAATATATACAATACTTTGATATCAGACATTTGGTCCACAGGGATAAGACAACTGTGACCATAATGAATAAGCAGATCTACTCTCAGGGCTTTGGCTGTGAAATCATCTACACAACAAGCACCATAGGTCGCCTTTCCCATAATCACTGTATCTGCAGTGGTAAATTGTTCTACAATATCACAGATCATTGTAGAAAACAGAATGAGCCCTTCTGGCATCTGCAAGGCAACTCTTTTCGCTTCTGTGTGTCTTATCCTCCATATACGATTATGGTACAGTATTTTGTTTTTTAAAATATAGCGTGTGTTTATTAAAAACTATTTAAAATGTTTCCAGAAAAAGTATTTAAAATATAACATATATCAGAAGTATCTTGCATTTTCATTACAAAAAATAATTACATTGCATGAAGTCGTGCTTTACAATTTATTCCTTAAAACATAGGTACATTTTAGCGAAAATAGTAGTTATGAGATAAGATGACTGTGGCTATACTTTGTAAAATTATTTTATTCAATTAATATTATTTTTAGTAAATTTATAAGAAATAACGACTTTTGTAAAATTATTTCACTTTCAATTCCTCTAAGGTATCATTAATTGAGTCTTTCCTTTTTCTTAAAGGAAGGAGATGGTCGGGAGTTGCGGTCATAAAACGACAAAGTATTGGTGAAACTAATTAGGATATTTATAATTTATAATTTCATAGATATAGTATTTTCCCTTGTATCCATCTATCCATATCTTCAAATTTTAGATACTGTAATTTTCCAGGTTTTTTTTTTTTTCTCATTACCCAAACAGGAAATTAGGAAATTTCCCCAATACCTACCCTTACCTGATTTTCCAGTTCTAAGTGAAACTCCTATCTGAACACACACTCAAGTCTCTATTTTCATTCTTCTAATTTTATATACTTATTTATTTATTATTGGCTCTATTTTTTGTCGCCATATTCATTTATATCTATTATTTCATATTACATTCTTTTTCGTTTTCTTTCACTCTCTCCTGTAGATCTGCAGAAGTATATTTACATTTACGTACATTATATATTACACTACAACAATTGTTACCATTTATTTACTTCAGTTTAGGATCTTGTTACTTATCTTACTCTGTTCACATTGTTTATAATTTTTTGTCTTAATATTATGTAACTTCCACAATGCTCTATAACTTTTTGTATCTTGTCCGTTCTAGCCCTGAAGAAGACCTGCAAAGTCGGGTGAAAACTTTGGCTTTTAATAAAATAGTTTTGCCACTATTTAGCCTTTTTATGACCGCAACCCCGGACCATCTCTTTCCTTTATAATGCAACAGTGAATTATTAAATATTCAATATTTCCCGTTTCTTAGCTAAAAAGTATATGAAAATATTATTAAAGAAAATAAAAATATATGTTTTTCTCCAGGTGAACATCTATCGCTCTACCTATAATTGTTTATTTATCAAAATATTCTCTTTTACTGTTTGTTATGAAAAGACTGTTAAGGAGTCAAAGCTAATATGGGATTTCATTGGCTAATACGCTCACTGAACATTGTGAACGAAATAAATATTTTTAATATTACAACATTGTCTTCAAACTTATACGCCTGAAGTGGAAATTGAAAAATAAAAATAAAGAAAATAAATTCTCAACTCTTAATCACTTCAATTTCCTTTGACAACTTCAAACTACCTTAATAAAACATTGTAAAATACTGGTGACTCGCAGAAACTTTTTAACTTATAAAAAAATATATGGTAAACACTGCAAAAAAAATCAGAGGTTTTAATCTTCCTCTTAGGTCGAGACTTACTTTTTATGCTTTTCTATTTACACTCGGGTGTGGAAAAAATACTCATATTATTTATTTACGAGCTTTTTAATAGTAACCTCATGGTTGAGATGAATTTAGTAACTATTAAAAAAAAGAAGTTACATAACAGCTTAGATCTGCCGAAGCCGATGGTCACAATTTTAGTATGAAAATTTAAAAGAAATTACAGCATACACAATAACACACATGACACACACAATTACTGATGCGAGTTCGATGATGGACCTATGCTTAATAAATAAGTAGATTATTATTTCAAATATGGACCATTGAAAAATAGATTTTCATTATGTCTAAACTTTCCTGTTTTACAATATATTGTATTCTTTGTATAAATTAAAAAAAAAAAAAACCTCTGGTGCCTACTTTGAGTATAATTAGATACTTTCATTTATAGGTAGTAGTATGTAAAAGAATTAGGGATCTAATATATAAAAATACGGTGCGCGCATCACACAATTCTCACTTATAACCCTCATATTAGCAAAAATAAGTATTTTCAGACAAATGAAAGTAAGAATTACAGACGGTTCAAAACATGATTTAAAACTATTAATTACTATATGTTTTTCATAGCCGTTTAATGTATTATATTTATTTTGTATGACACCAGACCCGCATGGCTTGTCTATAATATATTATACAAGATATTCTCTAAGTCGAGGGAAAGTTTTATAGTAGTGATAGCAGACATCACGTCCAGTTCAGATAAACAATAGGCCAATTTTCAGCAGAAAAATGAGAAATTCAAGTTTTGTGGGTTTTTTGTTGTCATGTTTTTGTTGAATAGGAAGCGATAACTATAGAAATAATTAATTTGCATAATAAACAATTACTTAAAGATAAACAACACTATAAACAAGATAAAATTTCCTTTAAACGGAAATATAGTTTGTGATTGTTAAAATCATTTAAAGAAAACTTTTAATCGGCTGAACTTAGCCAAGTTCTGTTTTGAACAAAACCTTAAATTATTCGTGATTTTTTTTGTTATCATCAAAATATACTACAGGTAGTCCTCTTTTAGAAAAGTATTCTCGTTCATATTGAAAAAAAAAAAACATAGATAACTGAGATCTGTGAGAAAAACACTGTTTTCTTAACCAATTTATATTAAAAATCATATTTTTTTTATAAATAAAAAGTGTATTTAGGTAATTATATTTATGATAATACATCCAAGGTAATGGAAAAGCGAGAAATAATAGCTTTTCAATAGTTGATTGTAGTTTTCTGCAATTGTAGTCAATTCGTCCACCCTTTTACCGTCAGTACTTCCTAACTACCTTTCTGTACCAGGTCATTAAAACTCATCGAACCTCCTATATTTTTTACAGCTTACAATTTAAGTAATTCATCCAATCTCGTCCCCCTAGATGTCGTACTTTCGACCTCTATCCTCCTCCTTACCCAACTGATGCGTTTGACAAATTCTTTGCAGTTCAAGCCGTCTCCCACTGGAATTCCATTCCTCCTAATATTCGACACACACTATCAGTTTCCTCTTTCTAATCTCTCCTCTTTTCCTTTCTCAATCAGTCTGATTACGAAATATACCTAGAGAACCATTTAGTTACCCTCCGTGCCTATTTCTGTTTATTTCTGTTATTATAGTTTCTTTTGTTTGTTTATATATATGTACGCTTTTCTTTTTCTCTCTCTTTCTTTTGTATTTTTACTTTGAATTAACTATTATTGTAAATATTTAAATTATTTATGACCACACAGACATGCATTCTGTGCTTATAATTTGTTCTAAAGGTACAACAGTCCCAGAATAATAAAATTTTCATTTCATTTAACTTTTGGTAAAAACTCGGGTACTTTTAGGTGACAACCTCAACATATTTCATATGTGCTTAAAGCTTATAAATCCGGGAAATTTATATCTTCATTATTTTAAATAACCGAAATTAATGACAATTTACATGTATAATTTTAATTTAGAATGGCAACTAATTTAATTATTAATTAATTTAATTATTAGTTAATTTAATTGCTGATTAATTTAGTTATTGATTAATAACTAGACTTAATAAAAAACTTTCCTCGTTTAAAATATCCAATTATTTAAGACAGTACTGAGTTTTATAATCAATAAAAGCCGATTCGTTACGAATAATTAAGTACTAAAGAATAGATTAGCTTCTAAAAAGATTCCAAGTTGAATCACCTCCTAATAAGAAAAAATTCAAATAACAAGTTTCTGATCAAACTTTTGCAATAAAGCCCGAGAAGAAACTGGGAGATGTAGGAGATAATTAAAGCTTATCTGATTAAGGATGCGGTTGCCGACACAACTAACAAGGTGGTAAAAACTTCAGCACTAACGATGTTGAGATAGCAAAGAAAAACCGAGGATAATTAAAACTCTGCTCTAATCTGGAGCTCATTTCCCAGCTCGAGCACCCAACGGTTTGGCGGCCCTCCAATATTGGAGCCAAATCATTCAAGGATTGGGAAGGAAATCTGCTTCGTGAAGATTAAGAGGGCAAATTAGTGTAGATGGTCCAAGAAGATATCTAGCAGGGTGGGATTACTGGGTATCCGCCCGTTTCAGGATAAAAACAGCTGAGAGCTAAGCCTAAGCTCAGTTTAATATATCTTAGACAAAAACGTTAATTAAAATTAACCTGTTTCTGATGTAAATTAACGTTTTTATATCACGTTAACATGTTTGTCAGCAGCTATAAAATTTATTATGACATTGATAAGAGAAATTACGGGATACCAGAAATTTACACTTAACGGTTGATGCATAGTCAGAACGCAGTTTTTATATTACAAACGTTTCAACTCAAGCTTGGAATCTTTCATCAAAGTTACAAAAAAAGTATAACACCAGAGATACAATTATAATATAAGAGATATTAGTTAATGCCAATACATTGATAGAAGTAGATTTGTAATAACAGTAAAATAATAATTAATGAAGCGAATACATTAATACTCACGATAAGCTATATAAACTGTAATATAATATACATAATAGATTTAAAAACTTTCAGGTATCGAAGTCGGTTAGAGAGTCGGGGGAGGATTTACCAGATGTGGTTTTTAAAATAGCAGATTAGGAAACAGATTCAGGGATTCGGTAAGATTATTCCTTATGTATACAAAACATTGAATACAGAATGTAGGTTGGCCGAATGGGCTAACGTGTGTGCACCACGTATTGCCCGACAACCAGATAATCAAGTTTTGAGATTGAAAAAAAGTACGAGTTCGCGTCCCGGTGCCAGAGGGGATTGTAAATTCTCCACTCCCACCCTCCGGTCCGGCAAAATCCCGTAAAGCCTATAAGGCGAAGTATGGAAGAACAGAAAAACAAGAAAGAAAAAAAAGCCTCTGAATACGAGGTTCGCCTGCACATCGAGGGTTATCGCCCTGA